AAATTCTTTACACTTCCTTAACCTTTTAAAAAAAAAAACTTGAAATATACATGTTTAAACTGCATGTATATTAAATTAGCTTAAAGGGTAATGGATTTTCATTGGTCAGATGGTCAGAGTACATACTGTGTCAGACTTATCAAATACCTGAGATGGTAGTTTAAGCCCAGAGAAATTCTTGAAAACCTCGGACCTTGGTCTCCAAAGAAATATTTTGAACATATTAAGAAAGAAGTGGCATTGAGTCAGCCACTCCTGAATCATAACTCATATTTTCATTGGCTATTGTGACTTCCTGCTACTATAACACATGATTGTAATATATGTGATACAGAATCTATAGTAGTATGTCCAAATATGGTAATGGTAGTAGGCATAGCTTTAAAAAAAAGAAAGAAAAAAACATTTTACTTGGCTATCTTAACATTGTTGGGTCATGTGTAACAGATTGCCAAAAGTTAAAACACATTATCCATGTAAACCTTAAACTTGCTTGAGAGAAAAGTGATTTGCCTTTGCCATCAGTATATAGCCTGGCCAGCCAACATGCATGTGCAGTCAGACCAGGGTTTGTACCATATTGCTAGCTTAATTTGATGTAACATTATTTAAATGTGTAAAGACTGTTTGAAATTCAGAAGGACAAATCCATTTCACAAATTCAGTAAATTTAGAGTTATAGCCCCTGACTTGAAGAGTTTATCTCAGAAGTAGGTTGAAACAGCTTAATGTATCAAGACGAGACAACACAGTTACCAGACAGAGGACTTGTTTAAGTTTGCAGATTTTGGCACTATTCCAATTCCTGCCCAGACATGCAGCCATTATTCTGTGAGAGTTTAGTACTTCAGGATTGAAGGCATCTATTATTATGTTAGAATCGTCCTTAATTTTGTCTGTCCAGACTGTCTGAAAACGTAGACATACTGTTATATATTAATTTCTGTATCGTTTTTTTCTCTTATTTGATATAATAAATGTGATTGCTTTAATTTGACAGTATCAGACGCAGCATCACTCTGTGCGGCATCTTCTCCGTAATTTATAAAGGTGATACGTTTATAGACGTGTTTGTTTATTGAACCGTATCTAGACTTTATTAGACTGAAATACTTGATAAAAATTTATTGTACAAAACACTTGAAATATTTATATATATTCCAAGAGTCAGATTTATGAAAAAAAGAAAGAATGAAATTCCTTACAGAGGATCGAACCCTAGACCTTATGATCACAACATATACATTCAGGAATTTTGCTAAATAACTAAAAGGCTGTTGAAAGTGATTTGTATATTTTGCTCAAAACAAATAAGAACAATACAGACGGTACTAAAGCTTTAATAATGTCTGAAGTTACTTTTAGGCTGTTTTTCCCCCCACAGTATCAAAGCTTCACATTTAACATGAAAACACTTAAAATAGAATACAATGTTTGTTTTTGATGTTATTAAAAAGCGTTTATAAAGCCTGCAAGATAGGAGTTTTGTTTTATTATGCTCCCCGAAAAAATTTCGGGGGAGCATATAGTCGCCGCCTTGTCCGTCCGTCCGTCCGGCCGTCCGTCCGTCCGTCCGTCCGTCCCCTTTTCTTGTCCGGGACATAACTTTGAAACAACAAGAGGTATCAACATGAAACTTTGTAGGTAGATAGATCTCATTAAGTAGGTGTGCAGTGCACAAGAACCGTAACTCTGCCTTGCCTAATTTTTGAATTATTCCCCTTTGTTTATTTTTACACTTTGAACTTTGTCCGGGACATAACTCTAAAAGTATAAGAGGTATCAACATGAAACTTTGTAGGTAGATAGATCTCATTGAGTAGGTGTGCAGTGCACAAGAACCGTAACTCTGCCTTGCCTAATTTTTGAATTATTCCCCTTTGTTTATTTTACACTTTGAACTTTGTCCGGGACATAACTCTAAAAGTATAAGAGGTATCAACATGAAACTTTGTAGGTAGATAGATCTCATTGAGTAGAAGTGCAGTGCACAAGAACCGTAACTCTGCCTTGCCTAATTTTTGAATTATCCCCCTTTGTTTATTTTACACTTTGAAATTTGTCCGGGACATAACTCTAAAAGTATAAGAGGTATCAACATGAAACTTTGTAGGTAGATAGATCTCATTGAGTAGAAGTGCAGTGCACAAGAACCGTAACTCTGCCTTGCCTAATTTTTTAATTATCCCCCTTTGTTTATTTTACACTTTGAACTTTGTCCGGGACATAACTCTTAAAGTATAAGAGGTATCAACATGAAACTTTGTAGGTAGATAGATCTCATTGAGTAGGTGTGCAGTGCACAAGAACCGTAACTCTGCCTTGCCTAATTTTTGAATTATCCCCCTTTGTTTATTTTACACTTTGAAATTTGTCCGGGACATAACTCTAAAAGTATAAGAGGTATCAACATGAAACTTTGTAGGTAGATAGATCTCATTGAGTAGGTGTGCAGTGCACAAGAACCGTAACTCTGCCTTGTCTAATTTTTGAATTATCCCCCTTTGTTTATTTTACACTTTGAACTTTGTCCAGGACATAACTCTAAAAGTATAAGAGGTATCAACATGAAACTTTGTAGGTAGATAGATCTCATTGAGTAGGTGTGCAGTGAACAAGAACCTTAACTCTGCCTTGCCTAATTTTTGAATTATCCCCCTTTGTTTATTTTTACACTTTGAACTTTGTCCGGGACATATTTCTTAATGTATAAGAGATATCAACATGAAACTTTGTAGGTAGATAGATCTCATTGAGTAAGTTTGCAGTGCACAAGAACTGTAACACTGTCTTGCCTACTTTGGAGTTATTGCCCTTTGTTCATTTTGACACTTTGAACTTTGTCTGGGACATTACTCTAAAATTATAAGAGATATTAACATGAAACTTTGTAGATAGATAGGTCTCATTGGGTGGAAGTGCAGTGCTTAAGAATCATTACTCTGCCTTGCCTTATTTTGAAGTAATTGCCCTTTGTTTATTTTTACTTTTTGACTTTTGTCCTGGACATTACTTTAAAACTATTAGAGATATCAACATGAAACTTTGTAGGTAGCTAGATGTAATTGGATAGAACTGCAACGCTTCAAGAACCTAAACAAAGCCTGGTCTAATTTTGGAGTTATTGCCCTTTGTTCATTTTTTTTATACTTTCCTGTGTCCAGAACCTTCTCGGGGAGCATCACCCGGTTCAACCGGTTCTTGTTTTGAAGTTCGTTTAATCAAATGAAGCTCTGGAAAAGTAAAAACCATCACTTCCATGATTGATTACTTTGCTAGTGCAGGAAGAATAATAAAAAAAAACCCTATCGTGCAATAAACATAGAAATATGTTTTGAATTCAGCTCCTTTAGATTTTTTCTCTGATTATTTATATAATGCAGTAGTGTGATAAATATATTTCCTTCTACAAATCTGATAATGTAGTGAAACATGATAAGGAGGTCCTTTTGAGTGGCAAAGATGATATAGAAAAGGTATCGGAGATTGTAACTAGCCGTTTTATGATGTAAACAAAGTAATAGACCTATTTTCTGGTTAAAAAACCAAACAAAAACAAAACAATCCAACAGGACTGTGTTACTAAATTGATTTGTTGCAAGCTTCCTGTTTAAGGATAATAGGCAGACATTATGTTCATTTTCAGCTTCATCCGCCAGTATAATAAATTGGTATAATTTTGCCGGCTTAGTGAATGATATTGTTAATGATTTTATGATGATTTATGATTAGTATGGAAGATTATGATTAATGATAATTATAATATAATACTATAATCATTGAAATGAAGTTTGATAAAAATCAGGGATGTTGCGAGATTTATTACGTAATTTGATTATTACCGTCTGTTGCCATGTTTGCAGGTTTGAGCGGAATAGATAATGTGAAAATTTGTTATTTTGGACACTTTTGTACTCTTTTCACTGTTATGCTGAATTAAAGAGTTATGTTGATGAAGTTAATGATGATAATGGTGTTGATGATTGGTTATCACACTGTATGTGTTAATTATCACGATAACAAGGTTTGTGAAGGTAGTGTTGATGATGATGATGATAGGTGATGATAACAAGGTTTGTGTTGGTAGTGATGATGATGATGATGATGATGATGATAGGTGATGATAACAAGGTTTGTGTTGGTAGTGATGATGGATGATGATAGGTGATGATAACAAGGTTTGTGTTGGTAGTGATGATGATGATGATGATGATGATGATATGTGATGATAACAAGGTTTGTGTTGGTAGTGATGATGATGATGATAGGTGATGGTAACAAGGTTTGTGTTGGTAGTGATGATGATGATGATATGTGATGATAACAAGGTTTTTGTTAGTAGTGATGATAATGATGATGATGATGTTAACAAGGTTTGTGTTGGTAGTGATGATGATGATGATGATAGGTGATGATAACAAGGTTTGTGTTGATAGTGATGATGATGATAATGATGATGATGATATGTGATGATAACAAGGTTTGTGTTGGTAGTGATGATGATGATGATAGGTGATGGTTACAAGGCTTGTGTTGGTAGTGATGATGTTGATGATATGTGATGATAACAAGGTTTTTTTTTTGGTAGTGATGATAATGATGATGATGATGATGTTAACAAGGTTTGTGTTGGTAGTGATGATGATGATGATGATAGGTGATGATAACAAGGTTTGTGTTGGTAGTGATGATGATGATGATAGATGATGATAACAAGGTTTGTAACAAGGTTTGTGTTGGTATTGATGATGATGATGATGATGATGATAGGTGATGATAACAAGGTTTGTGTTGGTAGTGATGATGATGATGATGTCAGATGATTCTTCAGCTGACAGAGTTTATAGTGGTAGTGATAATATATTTAAGTAGGGGGATTGATTATGTTATAACACAATGAATTTGTTGCTGATGATTATGATACTACTTATGACACTTTTGATATATAAGATTGTGAAAATGGTGATTTAATTATTATAGATTTTTATGTTCTTTTTCAGATCTGAGGAAAAGTTTGTCAGAAATGAGTGTGACTCCTAATGAGGCGGTTAAAACAAACGTACCAGAGGAAATTCAGGGGCTAGATTCCTCCAGTAGTAGCAGTGATAGCAGTAGTAGTGAAGGTGAAGATGATGACGATGATGATGACAGTAGTGTAGCTAATGATCATCATGATGAGGGCTTTGATATAGATGGAATAATGGAGACCGGGGAACACCCAGCAAATAGGTAAATAATTATATCAATGACGTTTTTATTTCAATGTTTCAAGAAGACTCTGTCATACAGATCTAAGAGAAGATAATTAATGTTACTCCGCTGAACCCGATACTCTGCTGTAATCATTACCTGTCGTTTCTGTTTTGAAAAAAAATTCTGCTTTGTATTTGGACATTTTAATTTCTTATTAAAGTTGAAGGAATTTCAGTATCAAAGTACTTCAAGTAAGCAACCGAAAGTTTCGAGTTTTTGTCATACTGCTTGAATTACAAGCCAACCTGTTTTGTTACCTGAGTGTCATACATCTCCTGTTAGAAATAAATAAAAAAGTAGCATTGCTTCAAAGTCAGGTCTCTGCATATATTGCCAAGCATAGATTAGGTTTACTTCAGTGTAAAAATTTTTTTTCCTTTTTAAAATTATCTTCTTGTAGAGCAGATTTTGTCTTCGTTAAGATATACTTTGTGTCAGAAAGAGTAAATTTATCAGAAGTACAAACTGAGAAATAAAAAGCCAATGATAAAATTGGAAGTAATTTACCGAAATGATATTTCCTACAGTAATTTTCTTTTGGACATCTTCCCATTAATTTCATTTTTAGAGAATTGAACAGGTCAGTTCAAAGATTTATTTTATACGCGCGTCTGCAGGATTCATATATTTATGGCGATTTTATAATATTTTCTGCATTTCAATTGTAATGCTGATTAATCTCTTTTGTATCGTATATAACAGTCTAATATCCTACTTGTTCATTATGCTGATTTATGACGGAACTAAACTGTCTGTAGATGATAGTGCTTATTCCGCTGCCAAATTTCCATTTCAACAAGTCTCGTGAAAGTGAAAAACTCACTCGCTAACCGATAGATTTGTTTTAATTATCATGTTTTGCTCTCCAAGGCTGTTTAAAACAAATTTTCAGACTTCTGTATGGGATTTGTTTTAATTATCATGTTTTGCTCTCCAAGGCTGTTTAAAACAAATTTTCAGACTTTTGTATGGGAATATGCGAGTGTTTCTTCTTTTTTGTGTGTTAGGAAACCAGAGTAATGAATAACAGAAACCGTTTTATAATTTTGTTATTTCCATTGATTAAGTCAGACACAAAGAAGATATTATATGTGCTCAACAGCAGTATTACAGCTGGCACTCAATTTATTATGTTGTAACATTGTTACATAATATGCGACAGGTCTTATCTTTAAACAGTGATCACATAAAGTAGCCTCTTCAAATATTTGAAATGTTTTTCTTGAAACGTCCCTTACCTCGTTGACTTTGAGTCATTGTATCCTTACAGCTATGGGTTTGAATCTCGCTATGAATTTTGGATTCTTTTAACTTTGGGTTCTTTTGAACGATTTTTTTTAAACTTTGGATTCTTTTGGATTCTTTCAAACTTTGGATTCTTTCGATTCTTTCAAACTTTGGATTCTTTTGGATTCTTTCAAACTTTGGATTCTTTTGGATTCTTTCAAACTTTGGATTCTTTCGATTCTTTCAAACTTTGGATTCTTTTGGATTCTTTCAAACTTTGGATTCTTTTGGATTCTTTCAAACTTTGGATTCTTTCGGATTCTTTCAAACTTTGGATTTTTTCGGATTCTTTCAAATTTTGGATTCTTTCAAACTTTGGATTCTTTCTGATTCTTTCAAACTTTGGATTCTTTTGGATTCTTTAGGATTCTTTCAAACTTTGGATTCTTTCAAACTTTGGATTCTTTAAGATGAGGAATTTACTAGTATTCAGATAGCTTTAACATGGTTGGAGTAACTCAGGTGCCCACTGGTGCCTGAAATAATGCATGGGGGCGGACCTATGATCTTCTTCCAAATGGAAAAGTAGCTGTATGATCTTTCTGAGACCTGATTATCTGTTAGGAAGTTTGTCAGTTATGTCTGTGTTGTAAGGAAAATGATCAGTATGTGCACAAGAGGTTCCATAATACTGCTGCCTTATTGGTTTATGATGTATTGAATTACAAATTTATGATGGAAGTGAAAAGTTTATGATGAATTTCATGACAGCAACAATATCAATTTTCATTGTGACAGTTTGATAGGGATAACAATAGTTAATGATAGCAAAGATGATTGTAGCTTGTGCTGATCTTGTCTGATTTATTGTAAAGTAAGTAAGTAAGTAGATGTAGTAACTCGTTACTATGATAAGTATTATATCATTAATCATGTAATAATGTATTATGATAAGTGTCAGTTATACAGAAGTTTTTTGTTTGATATTTTTACAGCAGTGAGGCAGCAAAACCTACAGTCACTAGCAGCCAGAGTTCCAGTGAGAAAAGAAGACCGAATATAGCAGAAAAGGTGAGCAAAGTAGTTATAGATGATTCACTGAAAAACACTGTTAAGAAAAAGAATAGGACTGAATTTGGAAATCTTACTTACTTCATTGAGGTCAAAAGCCTAAAACATAAAATTTGGAAAAGTGACGGACATAAAATGGAAAAATAATAACTATAAAGAACTGTTTCATCTATCTTTCCTGAAAATGTAACTGATCAAAAAGTCTTTAAACAGATGGGCATAATGTCACTTTAAGTTGACTAAAGGTTAAAAATCCTTAACCATATTCCAAGAAAAGGAAACCTTGTTTTCAAGAAAAGAACTAATAGCATTTCATGAAGCCATGGTCAGATGTGACATTTTGTCTAGTGGTTTTATCGCTTCAGCTAATGTAACATGATGTATATCTTGTATTTTACACAATGATCTAGTTTATGATAAAGTGCAAGAAGAAACATGTTTTAGATCTTATTTTCCCTGCTTTGTACGACCATTTTAAAACAAGATTTCCTTGTAAATAGCTTGACATTTAGCAGCTTCAGAGATTAAGAAACGGATGACATTTAAATAGGGAAATGCTTTACAGGATCCCCTGGTCTCTTGGTTATATATAAATATCAAGTCTCCGTGGCTTGAAAATGTAAAGCTATTTTTCACTTGCCATGATTATAGCTTAAGCACATTAATATGATTTAATATAGATTACAGGGAGGAAGGGGAAAAAACATGTTATTTTTCTAGATCATGATTTTAGTCATTAGGAAAAATGTACAAGTCACGTCCCAGTGGGTCAAATAAATGACTGTGTATAACAGAGTAAAAGAGCTTGAAGGATCTATACATACTATTTTGAATTCTTTTCATCACTTGAAATGAAAAAAAAATAAGCAAACAATAATGGAGTGGTATTCTCAAATTATTTTAAAATCAATTTTTGGTGCGATTCTTAGCCTTATTTAATTTTCGGTGCTATTCTTTGCCGGTATAGAGATAAAAGCACTTTTCGGTCATTTTGCAAAATGAAAATTATTATTCTTAAAAACCATCTTGAGAAAATGATCTGAAATTTTATAACAGAGTTATTTGTCAATGCCTTCATCAAATGAAAGACAATGCTTGAAACAAAATATTTCCATTCCCTTCATGTCAAGTAACCTCAGTGGAATCCTTTTAAATGGTCAAATACGAGCTTGAAAAGGGTGCTTCGATAGTAAGACTGTTGGCCTATGGTTACATGAAGTGAAAACTCTGTATTGATTTTAAAAGGTCTCCCAGATTATTTTATGATATTGTATTAATATGTATTTAATTATCCTTATTTAAATGCTTAAAGGTGCATTTATGATTTAAATTAACTACAGGCAATGAAATAATGTTCTTAAATAATAGTTAGCTGACAAATTCCATATTTTCATCTTGATATAACCCAAAATTCTTAATGGATCATTCCCAGAGTTGAAAGGTGGACAAGTTCATTTAAGAATTTCAGAAGGATTGTAGAATAAGCTGAGACATATTGTACAGTGCCTGCTAGAAATTTTATGACAGTAATGCCAGTCAAGTAGTCAACATAATTATTGATAATGTCAATTGATTGCCTGACAGGGAATGGGGTGAAAGTCCTGATAATGTGTGTGTACTTTAAGATAGTATTGTAGAAAATTGTCAGAAATCATTTGTAAGTAGTTAGATAAGTTGATGACTGATTAGCTGGTTAGTCATTGTAAGTTTATAGTGATAACTTACCTCGAGGTCAAAGGTCATGTTATTGATGTTTTATGATGAATTATGATGATATCATAATTATAGGAACTTTTTTTTTAAGACTTTAAACTGTCAAAGGAACTTTTTAACAATAGCCTATTATTATAGGTAAAATACAATACATCACATTATGTTATAGAATACATGTATAATAATTGTTTTTTACATCAATATTTAAAATATTTTTCAAAAAAAGAAAAAAAAAACCCCAAGGAAACTTTAGTGTGTAAATTTGTACAAAGAAAAATTAGCATGTTCTTAAGCTTTAAAATCAACTGTCTCCCACCCCCATCCCCCCAATCCCCTACCCCCACAAATAATAAATGCATTGATAAAAAAATGATACTGTGATTTGGTTATGATTTATAGAATACTTTATAGTGACCAAAATTTTTATAAAGTTAATCAGCAGTTTTTGCTTATTCATTTGGTATCAACAATTTATTTTGTTTACTTTATAAATAATTTTTATTCTGCTTAAGAGATTGGGTTTATTCTAAATAAAAAAGCGTGGGATTTTTTGAGCAGGACATTATTTTGCAGAATTACGGTTATCAGTTAAAACCCATGTAAAATTTTGCCATTATCCATTAGTTGCGAGTCTAAATTGCACCTAGCGCAAGTACATTTTACCTTTTGTTTGACTACGCGCTTCAATTTCATCATGAATTTTTTTTCTCTGGATACAAAGGCATTTAGATAGTGTTTAACAAAAAAAATGTCACATTAAACCCTGACAGATAATTTGATAGTCTCTTGTGTTGATAAAGTATGGCGGCCCTACTAGAAAGAAAAGCCAATAAAATACATGGCCACTCTTTATCCTAACAGACAAGTATTTGATTTTCTATTTACATAACTATTTGGTGTGGAATTCGCTCTGAAGAACTAGTAAAGTGCTCGAATGTGTGTTTGTGCGTAATCTGTCAAAATATGTTCGGAATACGGTGAAATTATAAGATGATCTTTGTTGGCATTTAAATAACCTGATATTCCATGTATTGTGAAAAACCTATTTATGACGACTCATTCCCTACGTGGAAAATGAACTTGTCCGGTTTCTGTCAGACGCACATATTGAATCATTGGATTATTCCATTTGACTGATTAGTGTAAGTGAGGAAAATGTTATGGTTAACAGATTTCAAGGATAATAACGTGAAGAATGTGAAAAAAATTACTCAGGATGTTTTATCATTGTTTCAGGTGCCACCCCTCAGCACGGAGACCGCCGTGCAGAAGACTACGGAAGAGACCGAAAGTCACGGGTACGTTTTCCTTTTATCAATATCTGTGTTTACGTATTTATGTATCGTGTAGTTTAAGGTATACAAGTTTTGATCTGTGACCTTAAATCTTGCCACTATATCACAGTTATTTAAGGTTCAAAGGTCATGTTTTGGTGATAAATTATCTCAATTTAAAGAAGGCTATTAAAAATAAAAGGTGAAATGTATAAGCTGCCAGGCAGGGGTTAAGATTGCTATGTTTATTACATGTCTACCATGACTGTTCCATTTAATATATTCCCCCAGCACATGAATAATTGCATGTTTTCAACTGGTAGATAAGAAACATGCCCATGTCATGTATGACATTATAAGATTGAATGCTGAAAAGATAGTTTTAACTGAGAGGGAGAAAAACATTACATTTCCTGTAATTCAAGTTTTATACTCTATAATGGCCTAAAGATATGTTGCCTTTGATTAAAAAGGTTACTAATAAAGGGAATCAATAATTCTGTTCTATATTCGAAGTACTCATGATCATTGTGAGGTTGCCATGGCAAAAGAATTTAACAATAAGACAAAATAACAACTATCCCCTCAATTATTATGAAAGATATTCACTTGTTGAAATTTTGCTTGAAATAACACCTTTGTTTATTAGTCACCTCTTGTATAAACGGGTTCAGTTGTTGAATGACATTATCATAACCATTGTCATCTATTAGTCAACATTATCACCATGGTTATCCATTAGTCATCATCATTATCACCATGGTCATCCATTAATCATCATCATCTATGATATTTTTCATTCATCATCACAACCATCATCTTTATGACTATTCACCTTGTCGAAAAATTTTCTTTAATCATCATCACCTTTATCATCACAATCATTATCATCATCAACCATCACCTTTATCATCATCATCATTATCATCATCATCTTCACCTTTATCATCACTATCATCATCCTTTATGTTTCATCATCATCATCATCACCTTCATCATCATAAGCATTATCATCTTCATCATCATTTATATCATCATCATTTCTGTTGCATTTGATATTCATCACATAATATTTTGTTATTCCCTATGTTCTCGGTGAACTATTCTAGTAACTGTTTTACGTCCTAACATAACCTTTTTCATCATATCTTGTTACTACAATTGTATTTAGTCCATACGTCTTGGGAGTGACATTTTTTCGTCCAGACAGTTGAATGGATCAAAGGAGAATAATATTTACATACTATAAAATTATCTTTAATACCCATCAGTCCTTTAATGATTCTATGACAGGGCCAAAATATTGTAGTACTAGTTCATACTTAATAAGATAGATAAGTGTCTGAATTTAGTAAAGCAGTTCAATTTAATGTTTACAGAGGTGATAATTTTGATTTTGTGTTAATAATATGTCTTCTTTATCGTTTGCAAAGATATGAATTATTCAAAACTTTGGTCATTAGTAGCTTGAACCATAACCCTGCTAACCATAACCCAGCTAAATATCTGGAATGGATTAGTCCATCTTTCAATATGGACAAAACCATTCATCATTTATGGGGGAAATTTCAAAATAATTATACTTCTGAATATGGTTTGCACTGATCGCTTGGTTCACACTGGTCACATGGTAGGCAACTTGTCACATGGTCTGCTCTTATTGTATGGTCTGCACTGGTCACATGGTCTGCACAGGTCACATAGTAGGCAACTTGTCACATGGTCTCTGCACTGGTCACATGGTCTCTGCACTGGTCACATGGTCTCTGTACTTGTCACATGGTCTGATCTGGTCACATGGGTAGTATCAGTTGCTGCCAGCAGGCTTAAGGTAAATTAATAACAGGTCATCAGTAGAAATAGGTCTACTTGCACAAGAACGTCATCTTCCCTTAGAATTTAGTTCCAAATTCAAACCAGGACTATTCCATTTTGCAAATTCAGCAGCAAATAGGTAAATTGAAGTTTGTTCATATGACTTTTAAAGGCTATTTAGATTTTAGAGTATTTTGTTTAAGATATTTTTTCTCTATAAATTGTAGACTATAAAAGATAAATACCAGATAAATGTAATCATGTTTCTCAGTAGTCCATTCTAATAGTGCCCTGATTTTAACACTGTTAACAAATAATAATAAAAGCATTTGGGGGGCATAATGGGCCTTTAAGAATGTAGAAAACCTGGGTAATTACTTGTATTGATCTAAACAAAAGATGTTGCCTGGTAAATGTTTGGTTATACTAGGACATGTATTCATTATGAAGTTGTAGATTTTATTATATGACTTTGAAACAGCTTGATACGATATTTTAGGTGATATGATATTTTAGGCGATGAGAATTTATAAAATTGTGTACCTTGTACTTTTTTGTGGAAAGTAGTTATGGTGCAGTTAATAGTTGTGTCCTATTGATAGAAAGCTCATGAATTACCAGTACTTGTGTATTTTCTCTGCAAGCATGGTTAGTGGGGATGAAACAGTTGTGTATGTTTTTATCAGAACAGAACAGAAGTTTGTTTATCCTTACATTAAAGTTTACGTAGAGTTTGATTGCGCATAGAGTTACGACTTGAACTTTCTGTTATTTGTGGAACGCAGGGTACCAACACCCTGTTGCTATGCAGCTTTGGGGCACAGAATGTTGTTATTTTATGATATTCAAAAAGCAGGGAACCAGCAGTATGTTACATAAAGGTTTGTGAAGTCTTGAGTGTCTGTTTTCATCCTGCGGACAACACACACTTTAAAGATCTCTTTATTTTCAACTTTAGATTAAATGGTAAAGGCACATCTCTTTAATTGATGATTATGTTTGTAATGAAAGAATAGTATGGCACCTGTCGTGAATGCTTCCAGTGATATCTTGTTATGTCTAATTAGAAAGTATAGGTAAATTTGATGTGTAATTTAGAATCCCATGTCACTAGGTACAAAATTTAAAGAATGCTGCTGTTATTACGCATGTCTTACTCAATACAGAAATGCTGCTCGCATACCCTTGAAACGTGCCACTTCTCCGAAATGAATGATTGCAATGTTTATTGAATTTTAGCATAATTTTTTTTTTAAGGTAAATAAATTTGCTTATAATTGTTGAAAATGAACTTTACAACTACTTGACAGTACTTGATAAAAGGCTGTAGGTAATTTAATTTTCTGAACGTTAATGAAGTTTGTTCTGAAAGGACGTGGGTTATCTCAGTGCTTGTACAAATTCGTAAAAATGCAGGCGGAAAATATTTTGATTTGAAGCATTTTGATTAATCTGTCATGAACAAATTTTTATATTCTTACAGAACGAAAAAAAATATGTTAGATTGGTTATCATTATATCAGAGAATATGTTGGTTATCTGCTAACTGCATTTTGACAGATTTGAAAAAGAAAAATTGAAATTTTAATATTTTTTTCCCCCATGAAATATTCTCCTTATCTCATCTATAATGCAGCAAAAAAAAAAAAGAGGGGAAATTTGATAGTCCTAAGTATGAAATTTTGCAGCTTCAAGTTTTAAAAATTGACTAGATGCCCCTTTATAATACCTGTCTGATATTGGACATTATCATAGGGCCATCCTTAAAAAAATGTTTGTTTGCAGTAATGCGACCGACTCACAAAATTTGTCCCTACTCAAAATTTTTTTTCATGGTCTGGATAAAAAATTATTTTTTTTTTGAATCAGAAAATTATGCCTTGTGCTTTGTTTTCGTTCTTTAAAAGGTTAATAGAAGAAATAAAATGTAGGTCTTATTAAATTAGAATTCAGTTATCAATTTATTAATTGTTACCAGATTATCAAAGCATATATTGTCCAGCATTTTGAAATTCCATGTTTATTAATTTTGGGAGTACAGTTCAATAAAAAAAAAAAAATCGACCTACCTACCCACCTTGAAAATTCTGGGTCGGGTTACTGCAAACAAACATTTTTTTAAGGATGGCCTAGCTCACTGTTTCCCCAGACAGGTGGTCACTGGAACTCAAATGCAAAGGTGATCTAGAAAGGGAATGATTGATGTTTGCTTTAAATATTTTGTTTTTATGGTTGTGGTCTGTAACAGTGTTTTGGATTATCTCATTATGACATTAAAAAGGCAGAATTTGATCATTTTCAGCTGTTACTTTTTTAGCTACTCCTTTTTACTCCCCCATAAAAGTTTTTTTTTATTTTTTTGCAAATGCTTCATAGTTGTTGCAGTGTGTTGAAATTTAGAAAAATATTCATTCAGCTAAATTTGTTATATTTAGTAACATTTGTTAACAAAGTTTTTACATTTAAGGTTTTTTTGTTTGATTGTAATCTTCTATCATATGTAATTATAACTTTCGTATATAGTCAACTTTTGTTTTCTTTTAAGGTAATATTAATTAAAGGTCCCATGACTCAAAACAAGTGTGATTCAATGTAAATTCTTCTTAAATTATTCATGAGCCATGTCTCATTCATGTTTATTGGTGTTTAGTGCAGTAAATATGAGAGCTTCATTGGTAAATTTGTTGTGAAAGTAATGTTGCCTGTTATGAAAGGTAGTCCTTTACAAAAGGTGGTTTTTATTCAGAAAATTTACAAAATACGGTTAGTTTTATCGGTTCGTTTTAGGGCTTCTATTGAAAATTTTGCAGAAAATTCTCAAGAAAAATTGGTAATAATTGTTTTTCCTTGAAAATGTTATAAGTGGTTAAGAGTATAGGTGAATTGATTGATTAGTCCGTACATAAATGTCAATGTTTTCAAAGTTTATTGTTCTATACATGTAGTAGAAATCGTGGTATAAATCATTATACAGAACACATAAAATAAAGACTTAATTCCCCTCAGGGTTTATGATAACTTTTCAGTAAAAACTTGTACTGAATAAGCAAGATATACATCAAATGAAACATTTACATAAACAAATAGAATTTAGCCAAGACGCATTTTTTTTGCCATTTTTGTGCAGTTGACGTTTCAATCAATACGACACGGCTACGGTGTTATTTTAAGGGTGAGAAGATTAAAGGGTTTAAGATGAGTAATGCTTA